AACCTCAGTCCTCCGCCTCCCCATGGGGCTGGAGCACCAGGAAAGTGAGGTGTTTCAGTTGGGGGCCACATCAGTGAGGGTTGGAGGATTTGGGAGGGACTTCCCCCCCCCTTCTCACTTGTGTGGTCCCAAACTGTTTTTTTCTGCGGGTCAGTGGCCCCCGACCCAAAAAGGTTCCCCGCCCCACCATAAATAAAGACAATGCTGAAAACTTTTGTGTTGGACATAATATTTTACTTTATTTAAAATGAAGCATGGGCAACAAGGCCCCAATCGGAGACCAGCCCCCATCTGGCTGCAGAAAAGGCTGGTGGTGACCCCCTCTTGCTGCGGCATGGATAGGAGGAGAGGCCATGGTATGGCTGCAGCAGACAGGGAGTGGGGAGAGGTTTGTGAGTGTAGCAAGCGGGGGCGCAGCCTGCTAGTTACAGGAAAAAAAAATGAAAATCTTGATTTTGCAATGCAAAGGTCACCTCCTCAGAATTTCCTAATTTAGTGCTCGCTCGTTTATATTGTAACACTGTGAACACAGTGTCAGACTGGCAGCCCTGGAGAGACTTGGTTTGCAGAACGGGCTCTAGCAGTATACACTGTCCCCATGCGCTTCAGTACGGATCCAGCGTATTTAACACAAGTGGTATTTCGGTCTCCATGCCCATTCCAAATTCAGCCTCTCTGGTGAAACTGCCAACTAGGCTTCCCAACAAGTGGGTGGGACATTAGTCCCTTAGGAAGTAAGCTCTGACCACCAAATTCATTTCACACAGATACTTAACAGCCAGAGCTAACGAGAGACTTTGCTGGACCCTGGGGGGAGCTGACTCTGAGCCCTCCTGGAAGGGGTCAGCACGAACCATATTAACTATCAATGTGTGATTGGAGAACACAAATATTTCAATGTTCAAATATTTCAATGTTCAATATTCAAACCCTTAGCCTAGAGTTGCCTTTCAATAATCTACACTTGGAATGTACAGAGGCCAGTAGAAGGGCTGAAAACCATCTGTTAAAAAACTTATTTGATAGAATCTGTCTTTTCTGCCCAATGTTTTAACTGCAATTATGGCATCTTTACTTCGTCTAGCAAAGGTGATGTTTTTCACCAAAAGGCTTTTCTTTTGCTGCTGTTTTTTAAAACCAGTAAAGCCTATATTGGGATGACCCAGTATTATGGGTCTCTGTGCCTATTAATCATCTGAGGCTGCTAAATGAAGTGTATCTATTTTCTCTGTTACATTACTATTGGCAACCAGGTCTTGAGTAAGTGCCCAGATATATTTCCATGGCAACAAAAAGCATTCAAGCATCGCTCTTGCTTTGTGCCAATTTAGCTTAAAAATCTTCTGTTGTAGAACTGAGTATGGTACATTAAGTAAAATAAAAGTAAGATGCAATGCTCTGAAAAGAGTCCAAGGGTAAACAGGAAACATGTATTTTGCAGGACCCAAGGAAAAAATGCCAAATACAAGACGAAAAATTTTCAAAATTTTAATATTGATATTAGTGAACGACTCTCCTTTACCAAATGCCAGCCAGCCCATATGCTCACTTACGTTGTCATTTAGGGTTAAGAACAGAGCTAACAGAAACAAGGAAACCTCTTACATCTCCCTTGATCATTTCAATCCGAAACTGAAATGTGAAGTTGTCAGGGTAGCCCGTCTCCTCACATCTCAGTCATCGGCAGATCATTTCATAGGCTCAGCATCAATCAGTGGACCCAAAGAGCAACGGAAAAAATGGAGGGACAGTTATGTTTAGGAAATGATATGCCATGCTTTGGGTAACAGAACATGTTCAATCATATCGAGACAACAGGGGAAATTAAAAAAAATCTATTTTAAAGCAGGAAGAATGCAGCGCTTTCACACTTTAGTTACTGCATTACATATACTGCAATGTATTCTCTGAGATCAAAGAAGCCAGAGCTTCCTGCCATAACATGACCTTGATCCATGCACACAAATTCACTGCCACCAAGTCATGAGGACACAATATGGTATGTGGTGCAGAGAAAAGCATGAAAAGTGTGGAAAGCTGGTGCTTAGAGTTGACATGGAAGAGGCACTGGGCAAAGCAACTGGGCAGGCATGGGGAGCTCTGGGAAGTAGGGTTCCATGATAGGAGTAAGGTCATAGGAACCAACATGGATCCATTAGCCAGGAACTCTCATAGAGCAGGTGTTGAGAGAACCTAGCCACTATTAAAAGTCCTTGAATGTCAAATGCTGCCCTCAGTTTGGAGGAAGGGGCTTAATGGATTTCATTCTCTTGCATGGCCCCATAAATGCCTGATTATTCTAGTTTTATGCAGCATTTGTGAACTTAGCCTTCTAGCACAGGGCTGGGAAAGATGTGGCCTGGGGGCCAGATCCGGCCCACCTAACACTTTGATCCAGCCCGCAGATTACATCTGCCCACTTTCTATTTATATCCTGCTGTCTGTGCCCACCAAATTTCCAGGCGGTGGCTCAGGCAGCAACATCCTATTTAAATGGCTCCTGGCTCCTGGCAGGGGCCGGAGCCACGGGGCCAAAAGCCACAAGCCCTTTAAATAGCTGCAGCTACCTCAGGTGGCTGTCAGGCAATGTGGCAGAGGCAGGGCTGAGAGCCGTGAACCCTTTACTGTGTTTTTAATTCAAAGCCTCTGTCCCCAGACAACTCTGGGGAATGGTTTGTCCCCAGCTCCGCCCCTTGCACTCTGGCCCCGCCCCTTTCAGGGAGTGGAGCCAGCCTGTGACCACGTCGCTAAATTCATCAAGTGACCTGCTTGCAAAAAGTGTTGCCCATGGACATGCAATGAGATCACATGCAATATTTTGCAGAAGCACAGAAAATCCAGACCACAGTGAATACCACCACCACCACCACGCAGCTTGAAGGGCATTGTGCTTAAAGCTGCTCATCAACCAAAGTTTAAAGATTATTGCAGTCCTCTCTCTCTGTTATTAGGGGGGAAATTGGTATGAGCCCTTTGCGTAGCTGACATTCAGACCCTTGAAACTGTACATTTAACTTATAGACTCATAAGGCCAGAAGGCCCCACCATAAGCATCTGGTCTGATCTCCTACACATTGCAGGTCCCAGAACCTCACCTACCCAAGGCTGTAATAGATCCCTAACCTCTGGCTGAGTTACTGAAGTCCGTATATCATAATTTAAAGACTTTGCGTTATACAGAATCCACCATTTACACTAGCTTAAAACTGTGCATGCCCCATGATGCTACAGAGGAAAGAAAAAAAACCAAAAACATCCAGAGCCTCTGCCAATCTGTAGAACCCTGCGTGGACACAAAATTTGTATCCGCATCTGTATCTGCAAAAATGAGCTGCAGATATCTGTGGGTGTGGACACCCTTGGATATGAAGCAGATATCTATGGATTTGCAGGACTCTACCAATCTGACGTGGGAGAAAATATGGCAATCAGCAAGGATAAGACACACCAGCCAGACACTTGGAAAAGAGTTCTCTGTAGTAACTAAGAGTTCTCCCCATCTAGTGTCCAGTCATTCACTGTTGGAGGTATTTGCTGCTAATAGTCGCAGATCAGCTACCTCCGCTGAAGGCTGTCATCATACCGTCCTCTCCATAAATGTATCAAGCTCAGTCTTGAAGCCATTACTTGGGGGGTATCGTGGGGGCAAACACCTGCTCTGGGATAAAAAGGGTTAAAAACAGCCTTGGGAGAGAGTTCTCCCAGAAGCCAATCAGAGGTAAGCTAGAGTCAACCAGTCAGGACTCAGCTAGGCTGTATAAGAAAGGCTCCTAGAGGAGAGGAACTCATTCTTGCTCCAGCTCTGGAGGGAGAGGGACCTAGCTGTCTGCTCGCACAGGAAAGAACAGTGATGGGGGAAAGCAGGGTGAGCCAAGGGAGTTTAGTTCTGAATAAACTCCAGACTGAAGCATAGTAACAGGTGCCCAGGGAGCTACTAGGACTGCAGAGGAGCAGCCAGGGTAGGGGAATGCAGCAGGTCCAGTCCACCCTGCCAAATGATGAGTGTCCATTTCAGACTACAGTTTGCTGAGGCAGGGGCTAGATGGCACCTGGCAGTAGGTCACTGATGCAAGGTGTGAATGGGTGGCTGGGATTCCCTGGGAAGGGAGGACCCCACTGTGTGGGGCAATGCGGCAGGGCAGTAACCTGAGGGAAGGTCCGGACCAGTGGTGCTGAACAGACAAAAAAGGTAATAGCGAGTGAGACACCACCAGAAGTGGGCGCTCCGAGGTTGGACCAAGCTAATTCATGGAATGAGCAGCAGGCAGTGCTGGCTCGTGAGGTCCGAGCTGCTACAGGGGGATATCTGGTATGTGCTCTTGGGTAGCTGAGACAGGCCCCTGAAGCTATTCATTTAACTTACTTTTTTAAAAATCAAATTCTGATTCATTTCCTGTAACGTCCCGCTTAGTGTCCTCTTGGATCTTATTTGAAAAAGTGTGAGGAGAAAGAGTGATCTAGAGCACTTCACCTGTAACTCTGGAAACACAGCTAGCTTCCCGTACCGCATTTCCCAGCAAACCGCACAGAAACAGACTGAGATTCCTGGCAAGGTCTGATACTTTTTTAAATCAATGATATACAAGCAGAGGCTTCTCAAAGTGACGGCTTAAGGCGCAAAGCTCCCTTTGAAGGGTTCTGCTATCTGAAGCATTTTCACTGAAATCCACAGCACACTAACATGTCAAGCTCATAAGCCTGATTTGAATATATGTGGGAAATGAACTGCATTTCTGAATTCGGGAACAGGGCCTGATTTTCCTCTAACCTACCGTGTTTTTACACCAGTTGAACGCCACTCACTTTAATGCAATTAATTCTGAAAGACAGAGGAGAATCAGGGCCATTAGCGTGGTTGGTTGGGGGATTTTGAAGCTGTGAGAAATCTACCAGGGATGACGTAAAGTAAAATGAGCAGATTAGTAACTAAATCAATCAAAGTCAAAGGAGAGAAACAGGCCCTCCTGCATAATGTTGCTAGGTGATTACTACCATCTTACCTGACACATATGCCTTTCCATTAATATTTTCTAACGAGCCAGCCACATCAAGGTCACGCTGAAGGTCCTTTATCTGCCTGTTGAGGTAGCCTTCCTCTTCGGGTATGGCAGGAAGCATATCTAACAGCTGGTGGTCATCACATTCCTGGTAAAATCTCTGAGATGACAAAGAGCTGGTGTCATCTGGCCATTGCTCTGAGGAGTTGGTGTTGCTTCTCACTCTTTTCTGCCATTGCAGATCCATGTCGGAGCCATGGGCAGGCACCTGGGAATCAAGATCCTGACTTGTTGATGGAGAGTGACTGTCTGTGGGATGCATATCCTCAGCACCTGGTATGTTCAGGCTAATGCTTCCTTCATCTTCTGCATCTTCAGAATAGTCCTCATAAACGCTGTCACTGTCTTCTAAGTCCTGATTTTGATCTTCCTCCGGCTTGTGGTCCACTCTGCTCAAGTTGACCAAGGAAGCAGACAAGGAGTCTCCTGCCTGTTGGACCGCTTCGTACATCCGGGACATCCAAGAGGAGAGGGGCTGGAGGAAGCTCTGAGCATTCTGAGAAGCCATATTTATACCATGACCAGTACCGGATGATCAGTTGTTCAGTTTTGCCAGCATGCCACACTTACAATTCTGCGAGCTATAGAATAAGCATTATAAAAGATTACCATAAATCACTTGTCCATCAAGGTCTGTGTGTTAGCTTTCAAACCTATCCAATCTAGACAGAAGGAAAGGCAAGAACCCTTCCACCAGCTTAATGATACCACCACGAAGCCACCACCAGAAATCCAAGACTACACAGCAAGGCATGCATTTTATAGTCGACAGCGGAGAACTCCTATGGCAGCCAGAAGAAACCTTTGACAAAAACATAAATACAGACGACTTGAATGCCAGCACTCCTTGTGGTGCTCATACATTACACTACTCTCACCAAAACAGTCTATATAAAAATATTCTGTGAGCAAATTTCAGCCAACGTTTTCAAAGCATTTGCGAGCCTTGATTCCCTTGACACCCCTTGGAGGTAAATATCTCATCACACCCATCATACAGAAGGGGAAACTGGGGCAAAAGTAGTTTTGTTTTTTTAATTGATTTGCCCAAAGATCACACAGTCGATCAGCTGCAGACAGAAGCACAACTCCCTGCTCCCAATACTGTGCTGTAGCCATATACTACACAAACGTAAGTTCCCGCAAGGGAATACAAGTCCATAGGCTGCATTCATTTCTATGAGAAGGTTCAAAAGGAGCAATTGTTGACAGAGGCAGAAGGAGCGCAGCATAACTGTAATGCTCTTTTGATGTTTAAATGAAACATAAGCTTCTTCTATTCTGAGGCCCTGATTCAGCAAGGCAGTTAGGCCCAGTTTTCAGCATTGTCTGCAGTCCCATTGAATTACGTGGGATTAATCAGAGACTAAAGTTAGATATGTACTTACATATGTTGCAGAACCACAACTTAAGACCATTTCTGATTTTTTGGAAGCAGAGTGTGGAGAGAGGCTGATAAATCTCAAATTTTAAAACTAATCTCAATGCCTACCAGGACAGTGTGTCATTTTTTAATCCCCAGAAAGCTGCAGGAAGGCAAGAGGCCCTCACGTGCATGCCTCTGGCACATCGACATAGTCTACACAGCGCTACATTTCAAAATAACGTGCTATTTCGAGCCATCCTGTATCCTTCGTGCAACAAGGTTTACCGGGATGGCAAAATAGCGCGCCCGTGTTCTCAAAAAATATTTTGAAATAACGAGTGGCTTGTGTGGAGGCGAGGTAGCTATTTCAGGATACCGGCGGTATCCTGAAATAGTCATGCAGTGCAGATGTACCCTAAGAAAGGGAAACTACAGGGAGACCATAAAGAAAACTTCTCAACAATTATACACAAAAGGCTGCACAACAGTATCCAAAGGAAACTGGTGGAAGCCCCACTGTTTGGGATCTTTAAAACTAAAGAGACATTTGCCCAGTCTTTTTTTAGGGAGTAGACCTCCACCGAATTAAACATGGATGACCCAATCAATCTTTTCCGTATGCACGTTCCATGACTGATTATTTTTCCGAATAATGTTCTTTTAACTGGCTATAGTTTGTTTTATAGAAATCTCCAGGACGTCTGTTGTCATTAGATTGTACTTAAAATTATAATCATTATCCCTGTGATAAAAGCCTGGGTGACAATCTTTGACAATACATTTTTAAAAGCAAATGGCTATCACGAAGCCTTCTGATACATGCACAGACACTGATCCAATGCCAATTTGAGTCAACTGGAATCTTGCCATTGATTTTAGTGGCTCATTAAACCAAGGTCATATTTCCCATGCAATCAATCATGCCCATTTCTTTCACTGTCCACCCGGCTCCTGTTCAGCCCCTCTTCCTCATACAATCTATTTGTTTTAACTCTGAATTCAATTCATTTTACACAGTCTCTAAATGATGTTTTTTCTAGTGATGACTCACTGCACTGTAGATGTTTTTAGGGGATGCTGGCAGTGCTAATGGCTCGGGAGAGAGTTTAGGACTTTCAGGGCTTTTCAGGTAGGAGGTGTTTTGAGTTGGCTACATTCAACAGTGGTCGCCAAGCATGGTAGTAAATCGTTGCTTCTAAAATGGAATAGTTGGTTTAAAAATAAAGAGAACAAAACCTTTCTGCATTTTTGTGAAAGGATACTAGCTCATGTCTGAGATCTCCTTAGTGCTGACTGGCAGAAGCCACAGGGTCAATTAGGGTTATTAGGATCCTTTACATTCACCAAGAGGGGTCGTGTAAGTTCTTTGTTGAAAGTATGCGTCACACCAGTCACCGCCACCATTGTGAGACATATGCACAGAGAATAGGTAAGGAGTTCTCTATGTATACTGAACACTGTGTTTTTAAAATATCAGTGTTAAGACAGGTCCCCAGAAGGTGATAAATAGATTCTAGGCAACCCGGGTAGTCAATACTTACATTTCTGTTGGGCCACTGTGTATTGTATGTCTCCGTGCCAACCACATCAGCACAGAAACAATGGGCACATTTAGTGACAGGATGTGTTTGTTGCCTGGGTCAGGTGCTGGCCTGAGGATTTACAAAGACAAAGGAACTCCAAGATTAGCCTCTAAAGACAGCACTTCCTGGGACAAAGGTCCATATTTTGTAACTGCATAAAAGAAGTAGAAAGGGGACTACGTGTCATCCTTTAATCTGAAGACAAGTTGCCAGCAGGCTTGATCTTATGAAAGGAAGGTCTCGGCCATTCTGGTTGAGAATGCTGGGAAAAGGAAAGGCTGGGGAAGGGGGAGAAGCAATCCCGTGTAGGGAACACAATAATGTCCTTTGAGGTAAATTTAGGCTCTAGCAAGGCTGTTATGATTTTGGTTTCTATGTAAGTCTTTGTTTTCAATAAGCTCACTTACTATCATTTAAATCCCTTCATTGATAATAGGCACGCCTGGAGTGAAAACATGAGTAATTGTAAGTGCCATGAGTTAAATAGAGTTAGAGGTCAGGTCAGGCTATGCCTGCTGCCACAATGAGAGTACAGTAGAATCCCTATTATCCGACCAAAACGGGACCGATAGGTGATCGGATTAATGAAAATGTCAGATAATACGGAGTACAGATTACGTGTACACTTGATTCGGGTGCTCTGGGCGAAGGGCAGCAGGACTTTGGGGATGTTCCGTTTGGAGGCCGCGAGAAGGGCGGCAGCAGCAGGAGCAGCAGCAGCGCCTAGAGCGACGGGGCAGCAAGCAGGGCCATTTTCCCGGCCTGCACCCAGTGGCTGCAGGGAGGGAAGGGGCCAGGCAGGAATGGGGACCCTGGGAGGTGGGCACAGGGGGGGATGGGGATAACCCCAGATGCATTGTGACCAAGCGGCGCTGGCAGGAGGCACCAGCCCACAGGCTGGACTCTCAATCGCCCGCCGTGCGCTGCAATTCAAGGGACGTCAGTGGCTGGGGAAGGAGAAATGGGCCAGGTCACATGGCAGGGGGCCGGGGAGAGCG